GCCCCGACGGTGCCCCCCCGGCACCCCCTGCAGCCCCCCTACCCTTATCCTTACCGCTTCCTCCTCAACGAGCCCCACAAGTGCCGGGGGGAACGGGGGGCACCTTTCTTGGTCCTCTTGGTGGCCACCCAACCTGGAGACACGGCCGGTAGGGCCGCCATCCGTCAGACGTGGGGCAACGAGAGTTGGGTGTCGGGGGTCTCCATCTTGAGGCTTTTCCTCCTGGGGGTGCACCCCGTTTTCGGGCGGGAGCTTCGGGGGACGTTGGAAGAAGAGAGTCAACTCCACCACGACCTGCTCCAGCAAGATTTCTTGGACACCTACAACAACTTGACCTTGAAGACCATGATGGGGATGGAGTGGGTGGCCCGTCACTGCCCCGCCGCCACCTACGTGATGAAGGCCGACAGCGACGTCTTCCTCAACTTGGACTACCTGGTGAGGAACCTCCTCCTGCCCCCCAAAAAGGATTTCATCACGGGTTACATCTATCGCAACACCAGGCCCATCCGGAACCGAGCCTACAAGTGGTACGTGCCCCACCAGGTCTACCCCAACGACACCTACCCCCCGTATTGTGGTGGCCCCGGCTACGTCCTCTCCGGCGATTTGGCTACCAAAATCTACCGGGTGGCTCAGAAGTTGCCCCTCATCAACATGGAGGATTCCTTCGTGGGCATCTGCCTACACGCCTTGGGCATCGACGTCACCCCCAGCCCTTGGGGGGTCTTCAACATGCACCGGGTGGACTACCAGAAGTGCCGCTTCTCCCGGCTAGTCATGGTCCACCACTACTGGCCACAGGACCTGCTGGCCATCTGGCCTGATTTCCAGAATACTGAGTGCCCCCCGTAGCCACAGGAGGAGGGGCTTGGCCACAACGGGGCTGGCCACAGCCCTGGTGGCCAGTAGAACCTTGTTGGGACCTGGTCATCCCAGCATCCCGTAGCCCTGGTGGCCAGAAGAACCATGCTGGGACCTGGCCATCCCAGTATCCCACAGCCCTGGTGGCCAGAAGAACCGTGCTGGGACCTGCTGGTCACCCCAGCATCCCATAGCCCGGGTGGCCAGAAGAACCATGCTGGGACCTGCTGGCCAACCCAACATCCCGTAGCCCTGGTGGCCAGAAGAACCGTGCTGGGACCTGCTGGTCATCCCAGCATCCCGTAGCCCTGATGGCCAGTAGACACATGCTGGGACCTGCTGGTCATCCCAGCATCCCTCAGCCCTGGTGGCCAGTGCCAACATGCCAGGACCTGCTGGCCACCAGAGCAGCCCCAGTGGCCAGAAGCAACCACGCCAGGACCCACTGGCCACCAGAGCATCCCATAGCCCCAGTGCCACCGTGCTGGGATCTACTGGCCACCAGAGCATCCCACAGACCTGGTGCCACCGTGCTGGGATCTACTGGCCACCAGAGCAGCCCTAGTGGCCAGAAGCAACCATGCCAGGACTCACATCCCGTAGCCCCAGTGCCACCGTGCTGGGACCTACTGGCCACCAGAACATCCCACAGACCTGGTGCCACCATGCTGGGACCTACTGGCCACCAGAGCAGCCCTAGTGGCCAGAAGCAACCACGCCAGGACTCACTGGCCACCAGAGCATCCCATAGCCCCAGTGCCACCGTGCTGGGACCTACTGGCCACCAGAGCATCCCGTAGCCCTGATGCCACTGGACCAGGACCTACTGACTCTTTGGCCAGTCCCCAGCTCCTGAGCAGCCACTCGGGGCCACCTCCAAACCTCGGGGGGCTCTCCATCACCCCCAGCCCCTCGAGGGAGAAGGTTGCCCCCCAGAACTGAGCCACCAGCTGGTGCCCAGGGACCAGCCCCGTCACTTTACTGTCTTTTTTAATCTTATTAATATTATTAATTATTTTTGTAGCCGTCCGGGTGGTCGGGGACCTCACCGGCGCCCGGAATTAAGTTATAATCCATATTTGTAATAAAAAAGGGCTGGAAAGAGCCAGACCCAACTTTGCCAACCGTCTCCTCTCTCCCTTGGGTACCGTGCCACCGTTGCCCAAGGGGGCTAAGTCATGCCAGGAAGAGGTTGCCCTCACCAAAATGCCCAATTCCAGCCCCGTTGGGTGACCAGAACAAAAGCCACCGGGGCGATACCGGCTCCGGTGCCACGTTGGAGGAGGAAGAGGAGGAGGGGGAAGTTGTGGTTGGCCAAGTTGCCACGGTGGAGAAGCCGTGGCTACTTGGGCACCACCACGGCCAGGGCCGTGTCAGTTCCTGATGGAGATAAAGAGCCAACTCCTGTGTTTGCTTTGTGGTGGGAAGAGTGTGATTTTATAGCTCCCAGCCCGGCGGCGGCGCGGCTTTGGTGCCGGCATGTTTGGCCCAGCCCCAGCGCGGCAAACGCCGCTCCACCTTTGCCCAGGAAGGGGAGAGGCCGCCGGGGGGTGAGGGTTCAGGGTGGGTTTGGAGAACGTTGGGGTTCAGGGTGGGTTTGGAGAATGTTGGGATCTAGGGTGGGTTTGGAGAATGTTGGGATCTAGTTTATCGTGGGTTTGGGGAAGGTCAGGGTTGGGGTTCAGGGTGGGTTTGGGGAACGCTGGGATCTAGGGTGGGTTTGAGGAACGTTGGGATCTAGGGTGGGTTTGGGGAATGTTGGGATCTAGGGTGGGTTTGAGGAACGTTGGGATCTAGGGTGGGTTTGAGGAACATTGGGATCTAGGGTGGGTTTGGGGCACGTTGGGGTTGAGGGTGGGTTTGGGGAACGTTGGGGTTTAGGGTGGATTTGGGGAATGTTGGGGTTCATGGTGGGTTTGAGGAATGTTGGGGTTCAGGGTGGGTTTGGAGAACGTTAGGATCTAGGGTGGGTTTGGGGAATGTTGCAGTTGGGGTTCAGGGAGTGTCAGGGTTGGGGTTTATGGTGGGTTTGAGGAATGTTGGGATCTAGGGTGGGTTTGGGGAACGTTGGGATCTAGGGTGGGTTTGGGGAACGTTGCAGTTGGGGTTCAGGGAGTGTCAGGGTTGGGGTTTATGGTGGGTTTGGGGAACGTTGGGGAGAACCATGCTGGGACCTGGCCATCCCAGTATCCCACAGCCCTGGTGGCCAGAAGAACCGTGCTGGGACCTGCTGGTCACCCCAGCATCCCATAGCCCGGGTGGCCAGAAGAACCATGCTGGGACCTGCTGGCCAACCCAACATCCCGTAGCCCTGGTGGCCAGAAGAACCGTGCTGGGACCTGCTGGTCATCCCAGCATCCCGTAGCCCTGATGGCCAGTAGAATCATGCTGGGACCTGCTGGTCATCCCAGCATCCCTCAGCCCTGGTGGCCAGTGCCAACATGCCAGGACCTGCTGGCCACCAGAGCAGCCCCAGTGGCCAGAAGCAACCACGCCAGGACCCACTGGCCACCAGAGCATCCCATAGCCCCAGTGCCACCGTGCTGGGATCTACTGGCCACCAGAGCATCCCACAGACCTGGTGCCACCGTGCTGGGATCTACTGGCCACCAGAACATCCCGTAGCCCCAGTGCCACCGTGCTGGGACCTACTGGCCACCAGAACATCCCACAGACCTGGTGCCACCATGCTGGGACCTACTGGCCACCAGAGCAGCCCTAGTGGCCAGAAGCAACCATGCCAGGACTCACTGGCCACCAGAGCATCCCATAGCCCCAGTGCCACCGTGCTGGGACCTACTGGCCACCAGAGCATCCCGTAGCCCTGATGCCACTGGACCAGGACCTACTGACTCTTTGGCCAGTCCCCAGCTCCTGAGCAGCCACTCGGGGCCACCTCCAAACCTCGGGGGGCTCTCCATCACCCCCAGCCCCTCGAGGGAGAAGGTTGCCCCCCAGAACTGAGCCACCAGCTGGTGCCCAGGGACCAGCCCCGTCACTTTACTGTCTTTTTTAATCTTATTAATATTATTAATTATTTTTGTAGCCATCTGGGTGGTCGGGGACCTCACCGGCGCCCGGAATTAAGTTATAATCCATATTTGTAATAAAAAAGGGCTGGAAAGAGCCAGACCCAACTTTGCCAACCGTCTCCTCTCTCCCTTGGGTACCGTGCCACCGTTGCCCAAGGGGGCTAAGTCATGCCAGGAAGAGGTTGCCCTCACCAAAATGCCCAATTCCAGCCCCGTTGGGTGACCAGAACAAAAGCCACCGGGGCGATACCGGCTCCGGTGCCACGTTGGAGGAGGAAGAGGAGGAGGGGGAAGTTGTGGTTGGCCAAGTTGCCACGGTGGAGAAGCCGTGGCTACTTGGGCACCACCACGGCCAGGGCCGTGTCAGTTCCTGATGGAGATAAAGAGCCAACTCCTGTGTTTGCTTTGTGGTGGGAAGAGTGTGATTTTATAGCTCCCAGCCCGGCGGCGGCGCGGCTTTGGTGCCGGCATGTTTGGCCCAGCCCCAGCGCGGCAAACGCCGCTCCACCTTTGCCCAGGAAGGGGAGAGGCCGCCGGGGGGTGAGGGTTCAGGGTGGGTTTGGAGAACGTTGAGGTTCAGGGTGGGTTTGGAGAATGTTAGGATCTAGGGTGGGTTTGGAGAATTCTGGGATCTAGTTTACGGTGGGTTTGGGGAAGGTTGGGGTTGGGGTTCAGGGTGGGTTTGAGGAACGCTGGGATCTAGGGTGGGTTTGGGGAACATTGCAGTTGGGGTTCAGGGAGTGTCAGGGTTGGGCTTTATGGTGGGGTTGGGGAATGTTGGGGTTCAGGGTGGGTTTGAGGAACGCTGGGATCTAGGGTGGGTTTGGGGAACGTTGGGGTTTAGGGTGGATTTGGGGAATGTTGGGGTTCATGGTGGGTTTGAGGAATGTTGGGGTTCAGGGTGGGTTTGATGAACGCTGGGATCTAGGGTGGGTTGGAGGAACATTGGGATCTAGGGTGGGTTGGAGGAACATTGGGATCTAGGGTGGGTTGGAGGAACATTGGGATCTAGGGTGGGTTGGAGGAACATTGGGATCTAGGGTGGGTTGGAGGAACATTGGGATCTAGGGTGGGTTGGAGGAACATTGGGATCTAGGGTGGGTTGGAGGAACATTGGGATCTAGGGTGGGTTGGAGGAACATTGGGATCTAGGGTGGGTTGGAGGAACATTGGGATCTAGGGTGGGTTGGAGGAACATTGGGATCTAGGGTGGGTTGGAGGAACATTGGGATCTAGGGTGGGTTGGAGGAACATTGGGATCTAGGGTGGGTTGGAGGAACATTGGGATCTAGGGTGGGTTGGAGGAACATTGGGATCTAGGGTGGGTTGGAGGAACATTGGGATCTAGGGTGGGTTGGAGGAACATTGGGATCTAGGGTGGGTTGGAGGAACATTGGGATCTAGGGTGGGTTGGAGGAACATTGGGATCTAGGGTGGGTTGGAGGAACATTGGGATCTAGGGTGGGTTGGAGGAACATTGGGATCTAGGGTGGGTTGGAGGAACATTGGGATCTAGGGTGGGTTGGAGGAACATTGGGATCTAGGGTGGGTTGGAGGAACATTGGGATCTAGGGTGGGTTGGAGGAACATTGGGATCTAGGGTGGGTTGGAGGAACATTGGGATCTAGGGTGGGTTGGAGGAACATTGGGATCTAGGGTGGGTTGGAGGAACATTGGGATCTAGGGTGGGTTGGAGGAACATTGGGATCTAGGGTGGGTTGGAGGAACATTGGGATCTAGGGTGGGTTGGAGGAACATTGGGATCTAGGGTGGGTTGGAGGAACATTGGGATCTAGGGTGGGTTGGAGGAACATTGGGATCTAGGGTGGGTTGGAGGAACATTGGGATCTAGGGTGGGTTGGAGGAACATTGGGATCTAGGGTGGGTTGGAGGAACATTGGGATCTAGGGTGGGTTGGAGGAACATTGGGATCTAGGGTGGGTTGGAGGAACATTGGGATCTAGGGTGGGTTGGAGGAACATTGGGATCTAGGGTGGGTTGGAGGAACATTGGGATCTAGGGTGGGTTGGAGGAACATTGGGATCTAGGGTGGGTTGGAGGAACATTGGGATCTAGGGTG